ACTGTTAATATGGTTACTGTTATCCATGTTACTCTACAGAAAACGAGTAATGGATCTCCTCTACAGTTTGGGCCATTATTCAACGTTTCCTGAAGTTTCCTGACAGTCCCTGAATTTTGTCTAAATCAGGTTAAACCAGCTCCATTTTCGTGTTGAGATTAAGATTTAAATAGGGTCATCTTGTCGGCGACATAACATTGTAATGAACACAGTACTTCCATGAATGGACCTAGATAATGTGATTAATCACACCCGATAATACTGGTTACACCTGTTCCTTCACAACTTCACAATTAAATAACCACCAAAACATTCATTTCAAATTTTGCACCAGAATACGATAAAAACCTTCAAACAATGTTGTTGGAATTTGTAATGGCTAGATCTGGTCTAACCTGTCGTCTGGAATTTTGCACACCCGAATGCTATAAAGGGTAATTAAACAATGCTATAAATGGTAATTAAACAAATGCGATGCAGGATTTGGACTGCTCTGTTTGACCTGTTCAAGATCATCAAGATCTAATTATATTCTGATTTTTAAAGAATCTCAATACGATAATGATGTCGACTCATGGGAGTCATTTTCTCCATAAGAAGGGCCTTCAATCATAAACACAATGCATTATTGTTACCGAGCAAGGTTAGACTTGCTCGCGCTCACTGCAATACAATTAATATGTTATTATGAGATTTGTAGCCCGCATTGCAGAGGCGTTTTAAGCTTGCGGTGTAAGTGTCACACTCTTAAATACGTCGTGTTAGGAGTGACCCAGTACCGGCTATAACAGTTTTGAAACACCCTCTACATCAAAGAGATGAGACGTACTGCGACTAGGTATTTATTATATCTATTAGATTATGTCGTTAAAGTAGTACCATCTACTATGTAGTGTACAAATAAATTCAATTTGTTTCTGGCTACAAATTATTGAGAATCAGCACTTTTTACAGCTAACAAACTGAGTGGTACCATATTATTATAAACCATATTATGTACCATATAATACTGTTTCACCCATTAACTGGTACTTTACGTACCACACATTACCATTTACCTGGTGTACCATGCGGTGTTTACTCACTACAACACTACAGTTAATGTTTTCAGTACAATGAGACCCAGTGTTTTGCAGATGATATGGTGTGGGTAATGACTAATGGCGTTATGTGGGTTTAATTGTGATAATATTTCCTGGATATTGTAACAATACGTACACTATGAGAGGTTAAGGACTGTTAGAACGGTTCAATTATAAGATTATACAGCCGCCCTAACATAACAGTGGGTTTATGAGGGATCACGTGACAGGGGGTTTAGGAGGGATCACGTGACAGGGGGTTTAGGAGGGATCACGTGACAGGGGTTTAGGAGGGATCACGTGACAGGGGGTTTAGGAGGGATCACGTGACAGGGGGTTTAGGAGGGATCACGTGACAGGGGGTTTAGGAGGGATCACGTGACAGGGGGTTTAGGAGGGATCACGTGACAGGGGGTTTAGGAGGGATCACGTGACAGGGGGTTTAGGAGGGATCACGTGACAGTGGGTTTATGAGGGATCACGTGACAGGGGTTTAGGAAGGATCACGTGACAGGGGGTTTAGGAGGGATCACGTGACAGGGGGTTTAGGAGGGATCACGTGACAGGGGGTTTAGGAGGGATCACGTGACAGGGGGTTTAGGGGGGATCACGTGACAGGGGGTTTAGGAGGGATCACGTGACAGGGGGTTTAGGAGGGATCACGTGACAGGGGGTTTAGGAGGGATCACGTGACAGGGGTTTAGGAGGGATCACGTGACAGGGGGTTTAGGAGGGATCACGTGACAGGGGGTTTAGGAGGGATCACGTGACAGGGGGTTTAGGAGGGATCACGTGACAGGGGTTTAGGAGGGATCACGTGACAGGGGGTTTAGGAGGGATCACGTGACAGGGGGTTTAGGAGGGATCACGTGACAGGGGGTTTAGGAGGGATCACGTGACAGGGGTTTAGGAGGGATCACGTGACAGGGGGTTTAGGAGGGATCACGTGACAGGGGGTTTAGGAGGGATCACGTGACATGGGGTTTAGGAGGGATCACGTGACAGGGGGTTTAGGAGGGATCACGTGACAGGGGGTTTAGGAGGGATCACGTGACAGGGGTTTAGGAGGGATCACGTGACAGGGGGTTTAGGAGGGATCACGTGACAGGGGGTTTAGGAGGGATCACGTGACAGGGGGTTTAGGAGGGATCACGTGACAGGGGTTTAGGAGGGATCACGTGACAGGGGGTTTAGGAGGGATCACGTGACAGGGGGTTTAGGAGGGATCACGTGACAGGGGGTTTAGGAGGGATCACGTGACAGGGGGGTTTAGGAGGGATCACGTGACAGGGGGTTTAGGAGGGATCACGTGACAGGGGGTTTTAGGAGGGATCACGTGACAGGGGTTTAGGAGGGATCACGTGACAGGGGTTTAGGAGGGATCACGTGATGTAATGTATCCTGGAAAAAAGTTCCATCTTCCTAAAATTGTTTCTTGAAAAGGGTTATAATCTAATATAACCCTCAAGAAACAAATTTAAACTTTTTCCAGGATCCAACTTAGACAAAACTCTGACATCTTACATTTGGAACATATCCTCGTCGTTAAAATTAGGCTTGGGCTTAGCTACACCTAATTATTCATTACATAATGACGTTACATTATGATTATGATATAAGGTACGACGTTACATAATACATATTGATTTAAGGTACGACGTTACATTATGACGATGATTCAAGGTACGACGTTACATTATGACGATGATTCAAGGTACGACGTTACATTATGACGATGATTCAAGGTACGACGTTACATTATGACGATGATTCAAGGTACGACGTTACATTATGACGATGATTCAAGGTACGACGTTACATTATGACGATGATTCAAGGTACGACGTTACATTATGACGATGATTCAAGGTACGACGTTACATTATGACGATGATTCAAGGTACGACGTTACATTATGACGTTACATTATGACGTTACATTATGACGATGATTCAAGGTTGCATAACAAACACCCCTCTCGATGTAAGGGCACCGTGTAATACAATGGGAGTAAGATAAAGGATTGCAGGTCATTGTTAAACCCTGTACTCCTGTAGCAATGTTGGCATTGTTGCAGCCTCTGTGGGGATGTTGTCATCGTTTAGGGACGAGTGTTGTGTCGTTAAACCCAGCTACCCAAGCTAATATAAAGCATTGTATTCTTTATTTGTATTCTTTGGAAGTTTTCTTAAGAAATCTTATCCTATTAAGACACAGTTTACGAGCCATTAGTCATAAGTCATTTCTGCTTTACATTTTTCGGTGTCTTAAAAAACTGGAATTATTGCATCGAACTTTGCAGAAATATAACTCCGGTAATATAACTATATAAGTTCATGGTCACACTTTATTTGGAATTTGGTATTATTTAGAAAATTATATAAAGATATAATGCAGTATTTTCTCAACATTTCGATGTACTGTAATCGAATATGCGACGCCACTTAAAATTCAACCAAATTTTCGTGGTATCACTTCAAATTCTACATATTTGCCCATATATGGTAATGAAATGGAGTCTAATGCTGAACAATTGCTAAAGAATGAAGTGCGACCACCGACCAGCTAAATTCAACACCCAATTTATTGATTATTTAGAGTATCCCGCCTGCTAGACCCCAATTTATTGATTATTTAGAGTATCCCGCCTGCTAGACCCCAATTTATTGATTATTTAGAGTATCCCGCCTGCTAGACCCCAATTTATTGATTATTTAGAGTATCCCGCCTGCTAGACCCCAATTTATTGATTTCATTATTTAGAGTATCCCGCCTGCTAGACCCCAATTTATTGATTTCATTATTTAGAGTATCCCGCCTGTTAGACCCCAATTTATTGATTTCATTATTTAGAGTATCCCGCCTGCTAGACCCCAATTTATTGATTATTTAGAGTATCCCGCCTGCTAGACCCCAATTTATTGATTTCATTATTTAGAGTATCCCGCCTGCTAGACCCCAATTTATTGATTTCGTTATTTAGAGTATCCCGCCTGCTGGACCCCAATTTATTGATTTCATTATTTGGAATATCCCGCCTGTTAGACCCCTGTGTGCCGGGCAAGGGTATTTGTTACTGAATATGGATCCTTCATAGTATCATCTCCACAGTACATTTAATCCCGGCATCTAGCAGGCATCTATCCCGGCATCTATCCCGGCATCGAACAGGGATGATATACCCAGAGTCAGGCAAAGCATCTTCATTCTTTATGTTATCTTCTCGTGGGCCACCAGGTCCAGCCTCTCTTTTTTTCAATAGGAGAAAAGGATCCTGATCAAAGATAAGGCTATCTCTGATTCTCTTTCAAACCCATAACATCAACCAACACTGCTACTGCAGGGAAGATCAAGAGTCAGCAGACTAAAGATCGATGATATAAGTTTTTAGCACCTGGTAATTGAACGTTCAATTGTATATCTATAAATTAACTCCATTGCTAGTTTATTGCTCCGAATTCAGTTAATTAACCAGCACATATTTTAATTCTGTAACGTGTAAATTGTGTTAAGTCGTCTGTCCACTTTCTAGGTTGGTTTCTTTGCAACATATTATACTGCTATCCGGGTAGATTTAAAACGTCGCACAATGAATATTGAGGAAACTTTAAAGAGTCTTTACATTCGAGAAGACAGGCTCATATCTCCCGAACGGTGTTTATTCTTTCAAAACTTCTCTTCTTTCAGCTCATGTCAGTGAAGCCCAGGTAAGAATTTTTGGGTTCATATTGACATCGTGCGGTACATACTGATAAAGTGCTATATAACAAAGCCTACAACCTCTACTAACATCTACAAGCGGAGTGTTTAAGAGTTAAATATTATTATAATATGGAGACCACTGCTTCAAGCATAATCTAATAGCTGAGTTATGAGTTATATGTAACAAATATAAGTTGTATTTGTGGCGACGCTAGACATATCAGTAATACAGGACACAGCTGCACGATAACGTGATCTTTAACATGTTAAAAATCAAATAAAGTTTCCCTTTTAACAAGAATTTCGCCGCGGTTACACCACGCACGATTAATTTTCCCTGCTTAAACCGTTAATATTTGCGATGAAAAGTTAAATTTTATTGATTCATAAAGATGAGATTTTTTATTATTTTGTTCGTTACAAGTTGCAATATTTTTGTGATTTGTAATTGCGCGCGTGTATGGTGTAGGATTTAATGAAATATTTAATACGCCGCGCACAAATTTTGGGCTAATTTAATTTGAACAGCATCGTTTGACAATTGAAATTCGCGTTGGATAAAGTACTGCGTGATAAATTACACTGTCTAGTGTCTCTGCGAATAAACGTAACATTTCGGACAAACAAATAACAATCAAATAAGAAATAGGTACTATAATTACTACTTAATAGAAATCAAATAGAAAACAACAATTTTATTTAGTATCAACTAAAGCAAACAAAAATTATCATATATATACAGCTACCACGAACTTTAGACCAGATAATAATTAGGGAACTTAGTATCAACTTAAGGTATGCCGCTAAGGTTCACTTATACTTCTAAATATTTCCAGACTAACTACGAACCAATGTATTCCAGGGAATTCGTGCGAATTAACTATGTATAAATGTGGGAGTAAAGGAGTTGTGACCGATTTTTTTACGAAAGTTTGTACTATTCGTTCAAAGTACCAGGAGGAAGACCTATTCCAGCATACCTGTCTGCCTCCGGGGTTAATTCGGCGAAATTTTCATTGTAAATGGTTTCGGAATAGAATTTAACTAATTTACAACATTCATCGTTGGTAAGAAAAAGTGGTAACGGATCAACTTGCATAAAAAAGCGAGAGTTAGGGTCTATGGTTCGTTTTTCCAGGTGTCCGTTGGCCATTTCGCACATTAGACTTTGCAAATCATTGGCTGACGTAGTGCTATAACAGCAATCGTTGACGTTCACTGTAAACCAATCATGGAGCTGGGTGTAATCACAGTGAGCCAGCTTTGCAAGAACTCTAGCACTGTTGTAGCCGCAGGAATTTCCTTCCTGGGCGGAAGACAGTGTTGTTGAAACTTGAAAACCTAGATCATTTAAAGTTTCGGCGAAATATCTGGCTTTGGGACTATCCATGAAATCAATCACCCGAGCTCTTCCAATGCAGTTATTTTGAAACATTTCACTATCAAGTGTCTGTGTAGGAGATGTATGGTTATGAACATAATTACTGAGATTTTGTGACAGGAATTTTGGTAGTTGTGGGGAAGTGTTAGAGTTGGAACATGGAGGATCCTTGTTATTGTTGATAGGGGATTGCGAAGATTCAATCTGACTCGGTACGAATGATTTAGGATTAGCAAAAGCATGATACTTAGATAGCGTCCTAAGTCGCACATATTCAGACACAATATCAGACGATGTTCTGATTTCTTTCGGATTAAATGCCAAGAAATAAAGACCGTTGGACGATGTTAGGCGGCTTATTGCAGTGTATGCTTGACCACCCCTCCAATTCCAACGTTTAGTGCCGGGTGGCACATCGAGGTAAATGTATGCCTCATTAAGTGACAGGCCTTGTACCTTATGTACAGTGCATGCCCAGCTTAGTTGAAGAGGAAGCTGGTATCGCTTCACCCAAACACTTTTATTACGGTGAGATGTAAATTCTTTTTCCAGAGGGGCTATAGGAACACACTCATGTAAAGGACACTGTGCTGAACATTTCGACGAACATTTGTGTTTGACACTATTTCCTACTTCAGGCACATCAAATTTAACCCATACTGTTGGAAATTCTGAGGAATTTGAAAAATCAATATGTTTTATCGTACCACAAACTCCATTTACAATTTTATCAACGGTGTCTATATTGACCCTAATCATTACTCGTGCTCCTAAACAAATGCCAAGGGTTTCTGGCAACCCACAGGTATCATTTAGAGAATTCGACATATAATCTTTTATATCTCTAACATGATCTACTTTTGAGTTGGAAAACTTATCACGAGATTTAACGGTGTACATTTTAGTGTGGGATGATAGTAGCTTAATGCACTTTTGGTTATGGTCATCACACATACGGTTTGTTGGAAATATGCACATAGCTTGAGCCAGAGTCTCAATGGGAAGATCGCCCTGCACAACTTTTGATTGAAGGAAATCAGTGTCAGCGGGGGTATGTTCGCCAAGTCGCAGACGATGACACAATTCCGTGAAGGGTTTGTCATTCTTAGATCTTACAATTTCTGTTAGTTCATGAAATTTGACTTTATCTTTCCAGATATCTGTGCCTAATGAGGCGATTCCTCTAATTTTATGGACCATTGCTTGCATGACAGGTGGAATCTGAAACAAATCTCCCACAAACAAAATATTTCTATTTCCAAAGAGAACTCCGTCGTTAGGAGAGTGTCCAAATATCTGATTCAACCTGGTATTCATTTGAATGAGATTGGTGTCTCCCAACATGGATACTTCATCTACAATGATGTACTCAACATATTTATAGAAATTGTATAAAGTTTGTCGCTTGGGTTCAGCTAATGGCTTTATGCTAAAGAAGCCTTTGCGTTGAGTGTCGAATTGCAGTAGAGTGTGAATTGTCTGGCCATTTATCAAAATTGCTGCAACTCCTGTACTTGCACCAGCGACAACTCTAGTATGTAATTTGGAGTCTTTAAATTTGCTGTTAATAATGTGCCTAATACAATTAATTACATAACTTTTACCAACACCTCCAGCTCCACTGAGGAACATGAGCAGCTGAGCGGGAGTTTGTGAGTCAGCCACAGCAGAAGCATGCTGGTCAATCATGTCAGCAAACTCCCGCTGAGCAGTGTTAAGAGACGACACCATAGTAGCTAGAGCCTCAGCTGAAATGGTTGGTTCTACATATTCAAATTTACAATTAGAGCGGCGCTCCACATTCTCTTGTGCAGGTTGAATTCCATCAGGTGGGTAAGCCATAGCATGCTCTGAAGGAGGAGGCTGAGAGTTTTTTTGCGGTTCAGATTTTCTACTATTTATTTCGTCATGTGCCCGTTTTAACATTTCTTCCATTCTTTCACTCGAAATTTTGCCGTAGTTCATCATGTTAGCCTTGATAATGTCAATACAGTCATGAAATTTATGCATAGTGTTTTTAGAAGGACCTAGTATATCAGCCTCTGAACGCCATGGGTGGAATTGACATATTTTACTGTAATAAAATTTGTGAGGTTCATTCTTGGAAGAGTACGAATGTGAGCGAACAATTACAGGAAGGTCTCGCAGTATTATATTACCCAATCCATTTTTTAGAGCAAAAGTCTTACTTGCTTGGCGAGGGCCTGGACGACCATACAGGGGTTTATACTTAGAAGCAAATTCTGCGAAGCAAATGTTTTCAAGGTCATCAGGCCTGTTTTGATAACGCTCACGGAGACCTTTCATGAAAATATCAGTGCTATCATCAGGCAAAGCATCCAACTGTACTTTAGGTTTTAAAATTGAATGTTGATCCTCTAGTGGACCACATGGAATATAAATTACTTGTGGACTAAAGTAAGTCATGCCAATAGATGGAAGAGCACGGTATATTGCCTCCTGGATACTAATTTCTCTGACATTCTGCCAAGAGAAAGCAAGTTTCCTCATAGTCTCACGTGAGCCAGCGTTAAAAGGCATGCTGCTACTTTCCTGAACGTTTTTTAAAGCATCAAGTGCAGCCTTTTCTTGCTTAGTGGCATAGCTGACTAGATACATTAGGGCACTGTAAGCATCACCACAGTATTGAATGTCCATATTAGACCTGACCGCTCGTAGTATAACCTCATTATAAGTGTTGACGTTCTCGTCACCTACATCCCTTTTATAAATGATAACAGGGCGCTTCTTACCATTGGGATCGATGATAATCACTGTCTCAGTAGAAGGTTCCTTCGGATAGTTAAATCTACACTTACATGTGTCAGAACCTGATGTCTTGGAACCAGAACACGTTTTGGTGTGTTTATGAGTTTGAAGCATCACTAATTTTGCGAGTTCCGGGTCTTCATCGGGTAACGGTCGTTTGGTAGTAATATACCTATCAATAAACGCACAAATGGTAGCGATATCGTCTACACCAATTTCAGGAGCATTCAAAATTTTGAGGAGCATATGTAAATGAGGAGAACCTCGACCCTGAAACTCATCACGACCAGCTCTAGCTTCACATTCACCGAGCACCTTTTCCTTCATAATAAGCTGATTTATTATAGCTGTAGCAAAACGTTTGAACATACGCACAGCAGTAACTGGGTCGGACCGTAATACTTCATGTTTATCATACCAACTTAGGTTTTCTAGATACTCCATGGAAACTGGCTGACCCCTAGCTTGCATAATAGCGGGAATAGAGTATATCAAATCATTAAAAGAAACAGTAAGGAAAAAAGTGAATGCACCTAATTGGCTGACCATGGCCAATGCATCTGTCTTCACAGCTTGCCAATAAGCAGGAGAACCTTTCATAGTTTTCATGAATTTATACAACTCGATTGAGCTGTGAAGAGATGGATTGCCATTTGTAAGATCTCGGAGATATCTGGCATTAACTGGGTTACCAGCTACATCGCGCTTGGTCCCTTTACGCAAATGAGTGGATATATTACTATGTAGCTGCTCTTTTTCTACTAGGCACTGTAGGAAGAAAATGTATTCTGGATTAGAAGCAAAGCGACGATCGGCGTTAAAGAGCCTATGTTCAGCATATTTTTTCATTGTCAACTTATTGGGACGAACATCATTAAAATGACCCTTACCGAGCGGAAACAATTGTGGAAAACCGTAAACCTCAGCGTTTTTGTCTTGAAGAAGAGGGATAGGTTTGTTACCTTGGCCAGGCGCATAATGTACAATTAAATCTGCTATATCAGGATTTTCTTGTTGAACACATGACTGGAAAGGCATATCAGATGGCCCCATTGTCGATTTAGCAGTATTTTGAGCTTTTTCAAATTCCTGCAATTTTGGGTCGTTTGGAAAATAAATTTTAAAGAAGTCCTCGTGATTGGGATAATTTTCTTCAAACCACTCATCGTTAAAAACAATGTCTTTAAAATAGGGATTATTTTCTTTTAACCAAATGAGAGCTTTAGTTAATTTGTCTGGATTCACGTAGTCATCCATGACAACAGACTTGTGTTTTATATCACGTTTTAATTTGACGGGAATTATTCCTGACTGTCCTAAGTTACGTGGTAAAGTTAAGCATGCTTCCTGAGGATCTGCTGGTACATTTATAACGGGTCCTGCTACTGCTTTCTGACCACCTGCAGGTAATGACCTAATTTTCATGAATTCAAGTCTTGGCGAAATAAGTTTGGCTTCTATATCGTTGCACTTGAGGCTGTCGGGCAAGGATCCAACTTCTAAATTATTTTTCATAGAGATATATGACATTTTGCCCTTTTTTTTAGCCGCAGAACATATGTCACAAATGTAATTGGTGGAATTAACTTTACCGCTTTTGGATGATATTTTATCTGAAAAGTACAGCTTATTACAGTCCTGGCATTTTAAGTCCGGATATATTTCTAGGTGTTCCCGAAAGGTATTGATGATTCGCTTGTCTTCTTCGGATAGAGCGGTAGTTCGAACAGGAGAATTAGGAACATCATAAAAGTCTTCTGACATAAAATCATCAGAACAACCGAGTGGACCCAAGATTTCAGTTTGGAACAGATCCTGGCAGTTTTGTATGAAATCATAGTTGTCTTGCTCCCTCTTCATTTTTTTCAGGTCGTTTTTTTGCTTTGTATACTCCTTTTTCTGGTCTGTACTAAGGTTGCTATTCCATCTATGATATCGGGTTTTTGATTCTGCTAATCTCTGCTTCCTCTTTTCGCCGCTAATGGATTCCCGGGCCCGGTATTCTTTTTTTTGTTTGTTAGATGCCTCACGCTGCTGGTCGGTTTGTTCATTCCGATGCTTGGATTTATTAAGAACTTTATACTCCGATCTAGTGAGGTCATCATCTACGATTTTAATATTTCGGCCACCACCATGCAGAGGATGAGAAAGTTGCTTGTTCACTCTCTGCATGTAACTTATTACGAATAAGTTTGTTATTTCATCTACGGGCGCCAATGGAGTTGATGAAGTTGGTATCAATGAAGCCTTCTTAGGGGCCTGAAACGATATGGTAATATTGCTGTTTGGAGGAGGAGGAGGAGGAGGGACGGGATGCTGAGCAAATCGGTTCCCACAGTTTGGAATCGGTACTACTGTGTTGGATGGCCTAGACCGGTTACCTTTACGGAGGATTGTTCTATATTTGACCTTGGTTGATGAGGGATCATACACCATAACATTACATGAGCGGTGTATGATGTTTCTTCTTCGGCAGCGCCTTACAACAGGCTTCTTCATTGGCGATAAGGTCTGGTTGGCAGTATTCTGTACTGGTCTCTGTATTGTGTCAGATACTGCGTCAGAAGATCGATTCACAGGGGTGCACGCTACTTCATGAGGATGAAGCAACTTCACTTTTGGAGCAGAGAGTAGGGCCCCTCTGTAGTTAAGAGCAGAGAAGGTAGGGGTGAGGGGTGAGCTGCTGAAGAGAGGAGGAAAATGATGGACATCAGTGAGCTGTGGAGGACTGCTGGGGACAAACAGGATACGAGGGGGCTGCTGAAACACCTGATTAAGGGAACCTGTCACACCAACAGGTGATGTAGGAGTTGGGTGGAGGGGAGTTGAGGCTGGTGTGGGTTCCGGTTTAGGCACAGTCTGTGGATTCAAGTTTAGCTTGCCGTATTGGACAAAATTTTGAAATGCAACTATAGAATCCATCACAACTTTAATTCCTGAGTAACTTGGATGGAGTCCATCAGCCAGGAATAATTTATTCCTGGGGTTACCCTTTGCGTCTATAAATTCATCATGGCTAAGGGAGCACCTTACTCCCCAATCAATACAGGCCGACAATAACACCTCGTTAAACGCATCTACACATTTGTTGGGTGCTATTTCCCACAAGGGTACATCTCTCGTCCACTCGCATAGACGGGGTAATATGTCCATTACTACTAATGTAGTCTTAGGAAGCGATAGATTTAGAAAGTGCAGCAACTTTCTGTACGATTGGTGTACCGTTTCCTCCACCTCCAGCTGCCCTATGTTATTGGTGCCGAGGAATACCGCAGCAACATCATAATCTTTATATTGCTGAAGTAAACTTGTATGAAGTTATTTTCACAGAAAGGAAGATGTCAGGACAACAAAAAAGTGTTACCCCTTAATATAGCTCGATATTGCAATGGTGGTGAAAACAAACTTTGTATTATATAGTTTATTTATTGTAAGCTAGGATATCATGAATATTTGTTAAGTAATTTATTATATGTATATAAACACTACCAATAACCACGAAAACTTGTGTAAGAAATGAAACCTGCAAAACAGCTGGGTCGTCCTGAAGGATCGCTAGTACTTGCTCAATTCTTTTCCCAGGATATGAGAGGTAGCTAAACTTCTTGAATTGCTCGTTTGCATTGGAGTGGGTCGAAAACCGGCGCACCATAGAATCCCCGATGATGAGAAGCTGATGATGAATGAGTGATAATGCATGAATGTTGAAGCTAACTAATTGTGAGTGAAAATTGTGAGTAAAAGTATCAAACAGAGATAGAAAGATTAAAAACATTATGGGCTTACATACCTTCACATTTGAATGTTTCGCATTCATGATCATGGTAGTGGAAATTGTGAAAGGTGTGAGAGCAATTGTTTCGAAACGAATGTATTAGCGATGTAACGTAATTATGGCAATCGGTTACTGTGAAAATATAATACCGCGCAATGCCGGTCCGCGCGAATCAACTCAAATTAATCAAGCAAAACGTTGTCA